ATAGTTTGATGCATCACCATGGTCATCAAAATTAGCAAACCACTGCTAGTGTAAGGAATATATTGTTTTCTGTGTTAAATGAAATTTAAGACAAATTTTGTTCGTTTATCACATTTAACCGGTTAATTTCAGTATATTAATACTAATTTATACTTTTAAATCAATTTTTATTTCCATTATAAATGCTTATATATTGTCTTATGCTTAATATATTCTTTTCTCTGCTAACTTGAATTTAATACAAATTTATTTTCGTATATCACGTTTCCGGTTAGTTTTACATCTACATGCTTATTATCTGTGGATTTTTACTACCATATGCTTAATATATTGTTTTGTCTGCTAACTTGAATTTACATACACTAAAAATCACGTTTACAAAATATAATGTTTACAGCTCGGCTCATCGTCACTGAACCGCAAGCTTGGCGAGTAAAAATGCAACGCAGCCAATGGGTTCTCTGCGGATGAAAACCCGGTTTGACGATTCACACAGGCTCTCTAAAAGCGACTGAGATTTGCAAATGTTACATTTAAAAACATTACACAATATTTGTAATGTAAATTTGTTGCAAAATGTTTTACACAAAAAAGCATTTTGCATGAAAAATGGTTTTTCGTGACCTTTAAATGACGTCTGCAGTTGAATTGGTTGTATAAAGAATTCACTTTGTGTTTCTATGTAAAACTTAAGTTTCAGTCTCAGTATTTGGAGGGGAGGGGTGATTTGGAACAAACACATATAATTTTCAGCTGATATATTAAATGTCACTACTGAAGCCATTTCCTTTTAATTAGAATGAAAGTTTTATGATAATTGTCACTATTTCTTTCACTGTTTCTCACAGGTGTTAGTTCAGACCAAGAGTTAAGGACTTTCCAAGTGCTTCTTTCTTTAGAAATAACATTAAATCCGACACTCTTGAATCTCTGCTAAAATTTTCTTCTCTAAACTCTAATACTAAATTCTTGCGGTATACACTTATATAAAATGAGCAGTAGTAGATTACTATAAGTATTAAAATTAATACAGTACAAAGTCTGTAATCGGGACTTCAACTATTCCAGATTATGGGTTTTTCCGGATTATAAATCATCAATTTGAGCAATTATGATCTAAAGGGTATCAAAATTTACAAAAAAAAAAAAAAAAAAAAAAAAAAAAAAAAAAAAAAAGGCTTAATATTTATTTGTTTACTTTAGTAAACATTTCTACCAATGTAAGTTGTTTAAGTTGCTTCATTTTTTGTGCTAATACTTTCTCTTCAATTCTATAAACAGACATAATTTCTTGTTCAGTTGTAAAGTTCCACTGTTCAAGCCCTGTAATTGCTGTGTCGAGAATACTGGCTAACTTGTCAATCGAAATTTTTTCATTTTCAATAATGTTCTCTGTTACTTTCTTCACTATCGGAAGCAGGCATGGGTAAACACTTTTTCTCACATAATTGCATATACACGGTATCCATGTACACGTCGACCTATTTTCACTTTAAAAAAATCCCAGAATTGCACAAAAATTGCAATGCGCACTCCTTTTATCCATGTACACATTGATCTATTTTCACTTAAAAATCAAAGAAAATTGACAAAAATCCAATTGTTCTTACTCTTGTAAAAAGCGCCAAACAAATAAGCAGGCAATTCTGCATTTTAACCATAGTATTTGAAAGTTAATAATTTAAACGGTATATTTTATAGGATCAACAATATTAAAAGTTTTCATAATATATACACTTTTTAAGATGGTAGCAAAATGGAGTAAAGCGTTTTATAACAAAATTTAAGGAATTATAAAATGGACATATTTCAATGCTGTATACGTTAGTGCAATTTAGAATATCCAAAGTGAGACTGGAAAAAGAAATATTTTCATTTCCATATATGAAATAACCAATGCAGTTGACAAACTAATATATACCATAGGATAATTTAGTTCAGAATATTATATAATAAAATATTTCTCCTTATAACAAATGTGGGGGAAAACTAGTAGTTCCAGTATTCTAAACTTTTCATCAAACCTGATGAAATTAAACATAACATCATTTTCTTTTGAATGATAATAAGCAGTAAACGAGCAATAAATGATCGAAAAGCATTGATTCACACTTAAGACACGAGTTTACCAGATTTGGGGGAATTTCGCTTCACTTGGCGACTGGACCGTAATCTCCAGTCTAGCCGCCATGGATGAGTAAATACACACTGACGCCAACGAATCCTTTGCGAAAGAAAACCCAGGCAAAGACCTGGAGTGTGCTGCAGTGCCATGCCTATCCATTATTAGCATTAAATCAGACTAGCAAAGCTTTCGCTTGCAGAAAATCATCTATGAAAAATATGTAACTACCAGATAGTGTTTCCAGAACAATGAACACACATCAGTACTTGTAGTCAAACAGATGAGTGTTTTTTAAAGGTTAAAAAAAACTGAAATGTCAGAACTTAAAAAATAATTTATTAGTTTATAACAACTTTTACTTTCGCAAAGCAGCCATGAAAACAGAATTTTAAAACACTCCAATCCCTAAAAACTTTCTAGTAGAGTACACAAAAATAATTTTTTATCTGTTGCTCATCCAAAATAAAGTTTAACTTCTATAAGACGATTTAATCTCTAATCTCGAAAATGTTCCGAGACTTGTTCAAAGCAAGCTGTTTAACTGCAAGTTTAAAACAAAGACTAAGACATTTTTACGATTCTTCTGAAAAAATGTTTAGAAAAAACAAAGGAAGCACTTCCGCAGAGAACCCAGTAAATGTAAACATTGCCAACTTTGGCGATAATAGTTCAAAGCTGGTAACCCAGCAGATTCGTCCTATTTGCTTGTTCGAAGGTTGCAACCATTCCTCTTGCGTTGATTTTGTTGAATTATCACTGACGTTATTCGCATTTGCAGATTTATATTATTCTTCTCTTATTTATTATTATTTTTTCTCATATTCAACATTATTTTAACAATGGGTAGAAATATTTTCGTATAATTAAATAAGTTTTCGTAGATAGATGCTGGTTTTCAGTTCGGGATGAAAGGAAGAAAATATGGTGGGATAGGTAAATGCTAATTTGTAACACGGAATGTGCATGTGTATTTTAAATAATTAAGTAATGCTTTTATTTTTTATTATTGGTTATTGTCATCTAAAACTGTGAGAATAAATCAATTTTTATGGCATAAAATTTTGACAAGATAATATATGTTGTTTGTTAGACAATAACCTTTCAGAGGACCACAGGTGTCACATAAATAGAAGATTAAATTGAAATAAAAAATATTATTGATTATCTAAGATGACAGAATAGTTTGATGCATCCCCATGGTCATCAAAATTAGCAAACCACTGCTGGTGTAAGGAATATACAGTCAAAAGTTGTTAATCCGAACTCGTCGGGACTTCGGCGATTCCGGATTATAGATCATCAGTTTAAATCTCGTAAGATGGTATGCAGAAATTCTAAAATTAAAAATATGAAACCGTAATTTATGAAATAAAGAACAATTATGATCAAAAGGGTATCAAAATTTGCAAAAAGAAAAAGCTTAATATTTATTTGTTTACTTTATTAAACATTTCTTTCAATGTAAGTTGTTTAAGTTTTGCTTCGTTTCATGTGATAATACTTTCTCTTTAATTCTATTAAACAGACATAATTTCTTGTTCAGTTACAAAGTTCCGCTGTTTAAGTCCTATAACACCGACTAATTTGTCAATCGAAATTTTTTCGTTTTCAATAACCTCTGTCACTTTCTTCGCTATCGGAAGCGAATTATAATGACGATGAACTTATTTTAAATCATATCAAAGACGGAGCATATCGAGATGAAATACTACATTTGGTAAGGAATTATAAGCCAAATAAAATAAAAACATCTGCGCTGAAGATAAGGATAGTGCTGACAGATCAACTTCCAATTCATTACGCGCCCGCCGCGGCGTTCTCCCCGCCGAGCAGCGTGAAATTGATAAACAGATTTCGGATTTCAAAACATACTTTCGCTTTAGATCCTTTACATATTAACAAATATATATCGGAAATTCTATTTGATATAATCGAAAGTTTAAGCTTACTTTTATAAAATTGCTCTTACAGTCTGCAAAAAATAATAAGCCGGATCCAATTCGAAAATTAAGGAACAACACAATCATCAACATTAACTTAAATAGATAATTAGATAATTTTAGCTTATACGTCCATTATACATAAAACGTGCACGCGAAAACATGTTCTGCACTTGCACACACTCATACGCGTAGTCGCAAAAGGTCTTACGCGCACGCGTAAATGTCTATGCGCATGTGTCAACGCGGCGCATGCGCAGAAAGTTTTTAGTTTTGAGGTCCGGATTATAGATCATTCCGAATTAATGACTTTTCACTGTATTGTTTTCTGTGCTAACTGGAACTTAATACTAATTTATTTTCGTATATTACGTTTAAACGGTCAGTTTTACATCTACATGCTTATTATCTGTGAATTTTTACTACCATATGCTTAATATAGTGTTTTGTCTGCTAACTTGAATTTACATGCACTAAAAATCACGTTTACGATAAGCCGCCAGCTTGGCTAGTCAAAATGCAACGGCGCCAACGGGTTCTCTGTGTATGAAAACCCAAAACAAAATACGACTATGTATGTTATATAGCAAAGAAAATTATTTTATAATTTTTGTTTAACGAACTAAAAATTTTTGACATCTTCAGTTATAATATCGCAAATTTTTACTGCAATGTACAGAAAAATATATGAATTTTTAAGTTAAAATAAATGTAAATATTATATTTCAAGAAGGAAGGATAAGGAATACACATTGTTACTCTTCTTATGCCTTATTTCAACGTTAAGATACCATTCTTTAAGGCGAATATTAAATTTAAGAAAACAAACACAGTAAATTTAACTAATAACACATATTATTTGCATCACAAAATAGGGTTTATTACAAAATTATACTAATCCTTTTATATAATATGGTTGACATTAGCCATATTACCTTATATTTTAGAACTTGAGGCTCAAGAAGATCAAGAGGACGACCATTAACCTTCATTAAACCATTTCCCCGCTTACAGTAGGCTACAGCTGTAGCAGTTTTCTATAACCAGAAAAAGAAAAAAAATTAGTTCTACGATTAAAACAAGCTTTACATATGATATATGAATTAAATTGTACAGAAACAAATGAATATTATCAGGTCAATTAAAATACGAATAAGCCTAAAACAACGTGGTAAAAATTAAATCTGTTAAACGCTTAAATTTTTAAATCACCTTTCGACCAAACACCTGAACGCAGTTAATAGATTCTTTCTGAGCACCTTCCATAATTCAACTTGAATAACGATGTAGAACTCTTCACGATTTCCCAATAATTTTAGAAAGCACACACGTTTTCACATCAGCGTTGCCTACACCAAAGCGAGCGAAGATGAGTTGTTACTGTACTTCTCCACAAAAATAAGTGGCTTGAATCAATCACTGACGCTTTCACAGATTAGCATGGCATATAAAGAACGTAAATTGTAATCTGGCCTTACACTAGGTCCATTCTAATCCAACACAAAAATAAATTATACTAATCAAAATTCACAGTACGAGCTTTTCCATATCTCAAGGCTTTACAAATGTTTGCATATCTATGTACACACGTCTGTGCACAATGTTTCATTTCCTCCTACGTTACATAGTTATATGCAACTATATTTTAATAAATGATTGAGAAATGAAATACATTAATCAATGTATAATTCTACTCCCTCTCAATATTTATCACCAGGGCCGTTCCTAGCGGGAGTGCAGCGGGTATGAATACAGAGGTGGCCAAAATCAGGGGGAACTAGAATTATTTATATACGCCTAAATATTTTAAATTCATTATAAGTATTTGTCATATGTAAGTACGTTTTATACAATTTCTGATATATAAGTACTTAGTGAGCATGAAATAAAAATTTTACTAATCATTGAACTTTTTGGGGGGCGGCAATCTTCGGAAAATACGCGGGTAGCCAGTGGTCTAGGCACAGTGGCTAATCGCACCGACGGTGCGAATAGCTAACAGGCTATTCACCAACGAGATAATATACTGGTAGAGAGCGTACTGCAACCTTCAACCGGTTCCAACATTAGTGTCACGTGACTGCTGCGCGAATTCCGAAAGTGCGGAAATACTTTACATTGCTTTCTATGGGACGAAAGACTGCTGCTCTGCTTGGTCACATAAAATTTAAGTAAAAATGGTTATTCGCTGCAGCGCCTACGGATGTAAAGAAAGTTTCGTGAAAGGAGGACTTGTAACCTTTCATAGGTAAGTTAAAACTGCATGATTTATTATTTTATTTTCAGTATTTTTGTCATTTTACTATCTCTGTTGAATTGGTTGGAAAATTTCAGCCATATTGTATAAGAAAATTGCCTCCGTATATGACATTTTCAGCATGTATTATTAGCATCAAAATGTATTAAATACTGTGACACTATTTACTGGAATCAGCCTTTACAAATAATTGAATTTTATATGTTTTTTTCCGTGTATTCCGTTGAAATAGAAAGCTGCGCCAATTGGCGTTAACCTTTTTTCGCCAAGTCGTACGCGTTTTGATTTCATAAACAACTACTGCCTGCGATAAAAAAAGAAAAACGCTATTATTAGCATTAAATTATTGAGAAAAGATTGTGCGATATGTTTACTTTTTACTTTGTTAAAAAAAAGCTAAAGATCTTGATTCATGCAACATTGAACATAAACAGTTAAACAGCATTATTTTAAAAATCAGATTACTTTTATAAAGCTCAATGCTTTATCATTATTTTCTATAAAATCAATTAAAATAAAAATAATCTGGATTATAATTCTGTCTCATCTACGATGCTGTTAGAAATTTATTGTAATTGAAAAAATGCGATGTGAAAAACTTACCATATTTTAAATAGTATTTAAAAAAAAAGGAGAGTGAGAAAATTTTTAACTGTAATATCGTTTTGATCCTAATAATAAATACTGAGTTGAAGTTTGTTACCGTTTGATACATATTCAATATAAAATAATTTTTATAGTTAATAAGATGTATTGATCCCCCCTTGACATACACATGAGTGTGGAAATCAGTAATTAAGATTGCATTATTTTGTTCCAGTAATATAATCTCAAGAAAAGAAAGGCAATCAATGGCATAAATACATATAATACAATGTGATTTTCTTTTTCTCTTTAGGATGCAATGCATTAAAATTAAACGAGATTTTTTTTACCTTCTCAAATATTATAACAGTAGTGCAATTAATTTTTTAACGTTATTAAAAATTAAAGTTCCCATCTCAATTTTTTATTATTTATTTTAGATTTTCTTCCTAAAATTATTTAACCTAAACATCTTAAACAATGGTGCAAATAATTTAAAGCAATTATTAAAAATATAGATAAAATATTCAGGAAAAAAAAGGGGTTAAGTTATATCTAAATATAATTGTAAAAAATTCGAACAACCTAATTCGAGGCCGTTGTCTGCTGACTGCTAGCAGACGGAAATAAAAAGTACTACCTTGCCAAATCAAAAGCGGGCCAAACTGGCGATGAACAGCTTAAGCTATCACTCCCCAAGAGCATTAGTCACGTGGTATATGTTGGAGACACCCTAGCAGACGAATTCTCTGTCGGTGAGCCGTCTACCTGTTATATGAAGTCGTTGCTATTCACACCACCTACGTTCGCGCATGCGCACAAGCAGCCCAGGTACCAGCATTTTACGCCGATTTCCGTAAGGCAAGCGGTAGTGGTGTTGGTGGTGTATTTAATTATGGCAAAGCACACGAGGGCTATCTGCCTAAGAGGAGGGATGCCTTTCGTGGAGGACTTTCTAAGGGAAACTGGCTCGTATACACGTTACACATGGGGAAAACCACGAAAACGCCCATGCAGCCAGCCCGTTCGCGGGATTCGAACCTCGGACCGAACTACCAGTGTTCAGCGACATTACCGCTCGGCCGCTGGTGGGCGGCAAGCGGTAGTGAGAGCGAAGGTTGTTAACCCTAACTCAGCAATAGAAAGGGTTGTTAATAGTTCACCAGCAAGAGAATAATTTGCAGGTAATAATTATCAGTTACAAAGACGAAGTCAATCTATATACATGATAAATAATGTTCAGGAAATTATTAGATAAAATAGGGATTTAATGATGGTTCTAATTGCAAGCGAGGACGAGTAATTAGTTAAAAAATCTTTAGTGTATTGACAAAAAAGCTACAGAAATTACTTAAATTCTTTTATTTAACAGAGGAATTTTTTATGCAAACGTAGACCCTATTCTTATAGCATAGGACTGTCAGAATTTATTATTCAATAAGAAAACTTACTGAAAATGATAATATTCTTATGTATTCATCACTTTTTCAGTATCCACACAGGTTTATAGGTTCCAATGCCATATTTTAAAATCAAAGTTATTTATGAAATAAAACCTTACAAAATCTGATAAATAAATCTGATTTGTGTGTGCAAATTTTTAAATCTAAATCTCTTGCATTAAATTATTTCTGTAAGTAATTAAATTACTTAATTCTCTTTATATACACCATCCACCATATAATAAAACCAACTTCATATTTTTTTAACTCCCCCTCCCTTAGTCTTTTGTTTTTCTTTTTATTTATTTTTGAATTTACAATGAGGTTCAAACTTTATACAGCTTATGAGAAATTATGTGCATGATAAAATATGCAATAAAGGAAAAATTAAGAGAGAATTTATAGATGATATATGATAAAAAGATGCAGATATGTTATTACATATGGATTTCTATTTGCAATGCACATTTTTAAACTAAATTAAAAACAATAATAATAATGAATAAAATAAGAAATGAAAACGATAATAATAGGTAAAATAAGAAAGAAACACGTTTCATAATGAGAAAAGCTAACTACTTATATTCTGTCTACGGCTGAGGTTCGAACTCGCCACCTTTCCATTTGCAAAGCAGCGCGTTGACCACTCAAAAATGTGAGAATGTGTGAAAAATCATGTAACAAGTAGAAGTCGCTGCAAAGGTAATTTAATTAAACTTCAATAAATGATTGCTGTATGACACAAGTTGTAACTTTCCTCCAAAATTTCGTAATTGGGAACTACTCTGATATGCGCCCTCCAGTCGCCAAACATTTTGGAGAAAATATACACACTGCCATATAACTATCTAAATTTTTTTGTCTACATTTCCAACTTTAAGCCTAAAATGTCTCCAAAAGCGCGGTTTTCGACATGCAAAATCTACGCTTTGAGCACACAATTTAAGCTAAAAATCCGAAACAAAAACAAAAAATTTAGATAGCAAAAGCGTAAAGTTTCTAACCAAAAATATTTGACAAGAATCCATGTACACAGCGACACGTTTTAACATTAAAAAAGTCTACGAATGGTACAATGTATGCAACGAACGAATCTACGAACTACGCACACCTCGCTTTAATAAATTAACATAACAACAATAAATTTCAAAGAATACCATGTACACAGCATCCTGTTTAAACTTAAAAAAAATCTACAAATTGCACAATTTAGGCAACGAAGGAATCTACGAACTACACACACCTCGCTTTAATAAAATAACATAACAACAATAAATTTCAAATAATACCATGTACACAGCGTTCTGTTTCAACTTTAAAAAACATCTACGAATTGCACAATCTAGACACTAAACACTAATCAACAAAATAAACTAAAATAAATTTCAAACAATTAAAAAAAACAACAATAACGACAGAAATTCATACTAAAGAACCAATGAACATAACATTTTACAAAATAAGAACAAGAATAAAATAAAATGCACTTACCATTAATCAATCCTTTTTCGAACAGCAGAAATACCAATTTCATACCGCCTTTAGCATGCCGCCACGTAATCACTATCGTATTTATATGATAGCCAGACACACTATCCAGAAAATTCATACTATAATTTACAAATAAATGAAATCACAAATCCCTACTTTTATCATGCACAGCCATTAATAATAATCTCACAGACCCTCTTTCCACACCTCCAAATACCCACTACCCCTCAACAGGATGGCCACAATGATATTTCCTTTTGCCGAACTTCAATTCAACAACTTCACCATTTTATCTTTTCCCCCACCTTCTCAGACACAGACGCGAACCAACGAGCTCCAGCGAAAGATTTTTCAACGTCAGCAGGGTTGCCATACAACAAGGATCGTGCCAAAAAGCAGCACAGAACACATGTCGCCACATTTGGTGAAATTAGGGCGTATATCAGAGTTGTACCCGTAATTGTATTTTATTGAATACTCTTTCACAGTCAACTGCTTTATTTTAGAAGTTGTTATATTGCTGAAGTTAGTTTTTCGTGTTTTTAATATTGGGATATTTATAGAGCTTTTTATTACACATGATGTAGCTAATATTTAT